CAGCGACCATGGCTCACGGGCCCAGCCGCTCCGCGGCATGTGGGATCTTCCCAGACCGGGGCACGAAACCATGTCCCCTGCATCGGCAGGCGGACTCTCAACAACTGCGCCACCAGGGAAACCCCTGGCCATTCTAACAGATGTGATTTCCATCTTTTTTAAGGCTGAATTATATATATACAATATATATATTATGTATTATATATACAAATTTATATTACATTTCTTTATGCTGAATGATATTTATATCTATCTATGTATATATGTATCACATTTTCTTTTTCCATTCATCTGTCATGAATATTTAGGTTGATTGCATATCTTGGCTCTTGTGTGTAATGCTGCAATGAACATGGGAGTGCAGACATCTCTTTGAGACACTGATTTCATTTCCTTTGTCTCTATAACCAGAAGTGGAATTGCTGGATCACATGATAGTCCTATTTTTAATTTTTGAGGGCTCTCCATACTGTTTTCCATATGGCTATACCATTAGAAATGTGCGACTTTTTTTTAAACTCCAGAGTTTAAGGGTATTTTACTTAGTCTCCAAACTTATGGGATTTAAGGAAGCTATTCTTTTGTTAAAATTTCCAATTTTATTATAAAATGATAGAGTACATAGTTTGTAGACTATTGATTTTTTGAATTTCTTGAAGTTTCTTTGTGAATTAATTCATGACCTATTTCTGTAACTGTTTCACATGTGCTTGAAAAGAATCTGTTTTTCTCCATGGCATAATTTCCACATCTATGAAACAAGAACCAAAAATATCCAACTCCTTTGATTTTTGTTTTGGAGGTTGCCAAACCAAAGACCAAAATGAAAGAAAATACAACACTTGTTCTTTTTGACTCTTTCTTTGGCAAACTCACAATGGGTATATCTTGACACAAGAAAGCACGTAGCAGACAGAGAAAAAGGAAAATATCTGTCCTTCCTGAAAATAGATTTGTTACCACTGAGTAACAGGTGCTTAATCCTCTGTGGGGGCATAATTCCAGCCTATAGAGAGGGACTAGATGGAGTGAAGGAGCAACCACCTGTGTTAGTGATTCTGATCTGTGTTTTATTCCTTCAGGACTTGCTGGCCTTGGATATTTATAAAAGTGAAGCTGAGCCTTTGGCGTGCTACTCAGACTATCATTATATGCTAGGGTGGGGTGGTGGTCCTCCAACAGGCTGATTGATAGCAGCTGGCTAGCCAATCAGAGAGCCAGCCTAGTCACTTAGGGGGCAGCATGGATGCTTAGCTCAATTTTCCGAAAGGGGAATTTGATGGTCAAGGGCTTCACCTTATGGTTTTAGGTGAGATCCTTAATAGCCAACCTCTCAAGTTCTTCACCATAAGAACTCCATGTGCCTCAGCTCCTGCACCGTCTCTGCTCATGCCATCTCTCACTCTCTTCTCTTCTGTGAGCTCTCATGGAACCCACTGTTGGCTTACCACCTCCCCCTGTACGTCATCAGCAATGTCTCCTTCTCTTTCCTAGGAGATCTCAAGCCTTTCCAAATACAATGAGTCATTAAGAAGCATTTTTAAAATACATAGTTTTATATGGGTGTTTTTGGTGTTGTTTCAACTTTGCTATTTGTTTGAAAGTTATCAAAGTTTACAGTTGGAAAAAATCCTTTTTTTTTTACCTTCCCCCAAAGTCAGTAACCTCAGCTATTGACACTATCGCAAGAGGATTGTACTTTATCTGGATGAAGACAGAATATTGCTAACACCTGTCCACCAACAGAAGGAAAATCTTGCCCAGGAAAGGACGGCAGTTCCAGAGTGAAAGAAGACGGTGAGAGTGAAGAGAGTACCTGGAACTCGAGAGTATCAAGAGTAGGAGGTGGCACCAGAATGATTTACTAATATTTTGGCTGTCATTAGAATAGTAGACACTTCACCATACAGGGGTGTGTCGTGTACTGTGTACTGGAAAGAGCATGAAATCAGAGGGACCTGGTTATAATTCAGGTTTTGCTATATATTAGCTTTGAGATTTTGGCTAAGACACTTGACGACTTTGATTCCATGGCCCTCACATGTGGAACGTGTAGAATGCTAATGATAATAATAATACTTGCCACCCAATGTAAAAATATTGTCACTGGCATAGTAAAATGGTATATTGGTATAGTAACCCTTTAAACTTGTTACAAAAGTTAGAATGTTTTGAGGAGGGAGGTTTAGAAGTGCTTTCCATTGATTTGCTTACAAAGATATTTTCATCTTCCACTAGAAGTGTTGGTTATGAAAAACCTCTAGAGAAATAATGATTTTTGAGGTTTTCTTCTGTTACTGTCAACCACTTTTAGCAGGTGTACAACTTTCTGTGTATGTCACCCAATTGACTTAAAAGTGATTTAATGAGGGCTTCCCTGGTGGCGCAGTGGTTGAGAGTCCGCCTGCTGATGCAGGGGACAGGGGTTCGCGCCCCAGTCCGGGAAGATCCCACATGCCACGGAGCGGCTGGGCCTGTGAGCCATGGCTGCTGAGCCTGCGCATCCGGAGCCTGTGCTCCACAACGGGAGAGGCCACAACAGTGAGAGGCCCACGTACTGCAAAAAAAAAAAAAAAAAAAGTGGTTTAATGAATGTATTTATTGATTGCCTCATTTCATAAAGGAATCTGAGTAAGGACCCTCAATTTAACATTCTTTTCTCTATATATATTTGGAACAGGCATTTATCTTGCCTTCCAACTCCGAACTACATGCCCCAGACACCCTTACTGCTAATGTCCCTAATTCCTCATGACAAATCCCTATCTGTGCAGAATAGCTGGTTGATTGCTGTAACTGAATCCTGACTGATGGATTTGTACACTTTTTTTGGGCAGGACCCCTGTGATATAAAGGAATGAACTTGCATTTTAGTGGGGGGAAAACAGATGATAAACAAATAATTAAGTAAAAGTTTTAGTAACTGATATGTCCTTCAGATAAAAATAAAGCTGGAAAAGGGGATGGGGAGTGCAGGAGGTGAATGTTGCGAGTTTAAATAGCGTGGTGGTGGGCACTGCAGTTTTAAATACAAGTGGTCATGGAAGGCTTCCCTGATAAGGTGACTTTTGAGACCCGACTATTATGTCAATTGGGTGCAAGTCCTTGGTGGAGTTCATGTGTTAAAATGCAATTATCCAATTACTCCTTTCCTTAGATAACTCCCTAAATGATGCTATTTTCCATCTCCAGGTGGTTATATTCTCTACCCACAGCAAACATGGCGGAAAAGGCTTCATCCTGATATCTGGGCCACCAATAAAGATGGCCACAGCACTTCCTGTGTTTGCCCTTAACAAAGATGGCGACAATACTTCCTGTTCAGGGCTTTTGCCTTCAACAAAAATGGTGCTTACGGTACAGGTTCCCTGACACTTTGGAGTCCGGTTGCAGTTTTTTTTTTTTTTTTTCCTTAAGATACGTGTTTGCAGACGTAAGTAACAGGATCCCAGAACCCCCGTATGCATCTTTTCTCGAAGGCCCCGCGCCGCGGCGTCTGCGGCCTGGGCCCTGCGTGCCTCCCCCGCCCGCTAACTTGCTCGCGGCGCTCCCCAGCCGCTCGGGCTGGGGTGGCGGTGGAGGTGCTCGGGGCCCTGCTCTCTACTCGGTCTTCTCTGCAGGTCATTCCCAGCACCCCCTTTTAGCGGGTCAGGTGGCCCCTAAAATCTTTCATAGTTCTTTCCGTTCCTAATGCCACAGGGCTTCAGCTGGCGAGGCGGGAAATAAAAAGTTCCACATCGGCGGGGACAGCCCAAAGGGCACATCTTCCTGCTCACCTGCCGCCTCTCGGGGTCGCCCGCTGTGGCTCTACTTTCTGTGGGTGTCATAAAGCCCCATTTGCCGCCCCCCGTCTCCCCTCCCCGCCACTTAAATACCCTCTTAGCCGTCCCTCTGCTCACTGGTGCAGGGGTCTTGGAAACAAGCCTTCCATAGCGTGTGGACATTTAAAAAAAATCTTTTAAAGGAAAAAAAAAAAAGCACAACATTAAATGTCCTGTGCATGTGTGGCTATGACAGTGTTGTGATGGAGATTCGAAATTCTTCCAGAGGAGGGCTGGAGTCTGTGACTATATATAAGATTTACTGTAGACTCGGCATGAACGCCTAATGTTCTGCTTGAAGGCAATGGTGTATAGGCCTTTTCTCTTAGGGAAAAAGATCCTTAAACTTACTTGTACCTGCCGGTTTATTGCCCCACTTCCATTGATGATCAGGTTCTGCAGATGCCCGCGGTCTTAAGGGCACTTGCGTGCATATTGGCGGTTTCTGCGGTAATGGGGTATCTCTGATGAACACAATGTTAAAGGAAAAGCACTATTACTTCTCAAGTATGTTAGAATGAAATGCTCCTCTGTAACCCTCAGGTAAAAGTTGCTTTTTTTTTTTTTAGAAGATGTTGGGGGTAGGAGTTTATTAATTAATTTATTTATTTTTGCTGTGTTGGGTCTTCGTTTCTGTGCGAGGGCTTTCTCTAGTGGCAGCAAGCCGGGGGCCACTCTTCATTGCGGTGCGGGGGCCTCTCACCATCGCGGCCTCTCCTGTTAAGGAGCACAGGCTCCAGACGTGCAGGCTCAGTAGTTGTGGCCCACGGGCCTAGTTGCTCCGCGGCATGTGGGATCCTCCCAGACCAGGGCTCGAACCCGTGTCCCCTGCATTAGCAGGCAGACTCTCAACCACTGTGCCACCAGGGAAGCCCCAAAAGTTGCTTTTTAAGCAGGGTCTCTAATTCACTTTTCCCCAAATCTCTTTATGGAACAAGGAATGGAGCTAGGACCCCATTGTGTGGAAAGTAAAAGCAGAGAAGATGATTCATGTTCTGAAGCATTCGAAATTAATTCAGCTTGGCTTAACAGCCGTGTATTAAACACCATGGCCTGGCGTTCTGCTAGGGTTCAAAGATGTCCGTGACCTTAAGGAGCTTGCACTGTAAGACACTATCTTTAGGGGCTCATCAGGCTTCCTGTGATCTGAGCTACCATTTTGTGTCTTCCCAGGGGGAGATGGAGGCTAGAGACAAGCAAGTGCTTCGCTCCCTTCGCCTCGAGCTGGGTGCAGAGGTACTGGTGGAGGGACTGGTCCTCCAGTATCTTTACCAGGAAGGGGTCTTGACGGAAAGCCACGTTCAAGAAATTAAAGCTCAAGCCACAGGCCTCCGGAAAACAATGCTGCTGCTGGATATCCTACCTACCAGGGGTCCTAAAGCATTTGATGCCTTCCTAGATTCCCTGCAAGAATTCCCCTGGGTAAGGGAGAAACTGGAGAAGGCAAGAGAAGAAGCCATGGTTGAGCTGCCTGCAGGTAGGCCTCAAAAAGATCACTCCAGACCACCTCCAAGATTGTTGGAACTGTGCCCTTTGGATTTGAAGTTGGGGTTTTAGGCTGGGTGGGGGTTGGCGGGTCCTGAAAGTGGGAAAGGATTTTGGTTTGCAGGCATGTGGCGCTGGAGGGACTGGTTGAGGAGATGGAGTTAGGAAGTGCAGGGAAGGAGGGAGGAATGGAACACGATTGAGAGGGTGAGGAGGGAGCTCAGAGAATACATTTAGAAATGCTTCCAGGGAAAGTTGGCAAGTCACTTGGGAGGCATGTTCTCATCAGAGAGCCAGGTCATATCTCAGCCCTTGGCATTGAGAGCCATTTGGAAAGTGCAGATGGGAAAGCAGGCTTTAGGCTTCCTGATAACTGATTCGTGGGGTGCCAGAGCGGCCGGCTGGAAAAGGTCAGACTCATGAAGAAGGGGACAGCCTTTAGGAAGGCACGCCTTGCACCTGTTCCCTGGGCTGTCCTGCATGGCCAAAGGGGATTATTTGGAAGGCTGGCTTAGTTTGTTTTTAAAGACTATTGATTTAAAGTCATCCTTTTTAGTTTGGCTTTGTTCAGACACCTGGAGTATTTAATTTTATAAGGACAGTAGTTTTTTTTGGGGGGGGGGGGGGCTCTTTTTGATTTTTTTTTTTTTTTTTTTGCGGTACGCGGGCCTCTCACTGTTGTGGCCTCTCCCGTTGCGGAGCACAGGCTCCGGATGCGCAGGCTCAGTGGCCATGGCTCACGGGCCCAGCCGCTCCGCGGCATGTGCGATCTTCCCAGACCAGGGCACGAACCCACGTCCCCTGCATCGGCAGGCAGACTCTCAACCACTGCGCCACCAGGGAAGCCCTCTCATTTTGATTTTAAGGAACGTTGGAAGCTATGGAAAAGAGAAACAGTCCTAGTGCTATCAGCCTGGCTTGTATCAGGAAGGAGATGTGAGATGAAACACTTGTTCCTTCTCAACACCTCCCATGACGTCTACTTTTTACAGAGATTGAGAAGCAGAGAACTGAACTGGCAAAAAAAAAAAAGAAGGAAAAAAGAAAGTTGACTTGTAAATTTTTAACAGAGTTAGGAAATTGACATTCTCAGTTTTTTATAGCAGTGATAGTTAGAACTACCCCAACTCAGGGGTCTCCAGAATTTGTTGTTGCTGTTTTTCAAATACAATATAACTAGTAAAAAAACAAATGCCGGTAATAAAGAAACTACTTTTATTATTTTTGCCCCATGGACCTCATATTTTGAATGATTTTCCGGACCACATGATAAGTAATCATGACTAATTCTTCTAATATTTTTATTAATGACATATGTCTGAATATTTGATCAACATGAGATAACTGGTTGACTTAGGAAGGCCTGGTAAAATCCCAGTGGAAAAAGCAAAAATATTTTCATTTCCTTGCATGGCCAAATTACAGGTAAATGTATGTTTCAGGCTTTTTGAAATACTGAAAAAAGCTGGCCTTTGAGGACCACAGGAATTTTCAGGTTGGATTGTTCTTACAAAATAAAATACTCCAGGTGTGTGAACGAAGCCAAACTGAAGTAGGTAAAATGTTTCTACCACTTGATTGAAAGCAGAATATATAACATAGAAGTGGGGAGATGTTAAAAGAAATATTAGGGTGTCCAATATCTTTTCATGGTATTTGACTTAGAGGTTCCTCTTGGCAACACATAGTTGGAAACAACAAAACAGGCAAACTGAAAGCCTGTTACTACTGAAATACTTAATTTAATTTTATAATCATTGTAGGTGTTGTAAATAGTATGACTGTATGTTGTTCAAAGAGGTGTGACCCCGTTTTCATTTCTTCTGATTCATTCAAAGAACAAGAAAAGTTATTTTTACCAAATGGTGAAAGTTACAATGATGTTGAAGAAAAAAAATATATACATATATATTTTTAAGTAAGCAGTATGAAACATCGCGGAGCGGGAAAAAATTCAGTGTATCTGTGCTGAAGTTTGGAAAAATAACGATAATACGTTAATTCTGTGGTAGTGGTCAAATGGAACGATAGGTTGGCTACTGCACAAATGAAGTCCTCTTAATTGTTTTACTTCCTGTTGAGTAACACTGCTACTGAAAAAAATATCCTGAAGAGAGAGTTTGATTTACTTAGCGTTCTGTACACTTTCCACAGTGGCAGTTACACAAACTCACTTTTTAAATAGTTTTTGTTAATTATTGAATATTTTAAGTAAGATTACAAAATATAAGTAAAGTGTGAAGAACAATGGTACAGTGAACACCTGTCTCCCCATCACTCAGTTAAAAAAATATTACATGGGGCTTCCCTGGTGGCGCAGTGGTTGAGAGTCCGCCTGCCGATGCAGGGGACACGGGTTCGTGCCCTGGTCCGGGAAGATCCCACATGCCGTGGAGCGGCTGGGCCCGTGAGCCATGGCCGCTGAGCCTGCGCGTCCGGAGCCTGTGCTCCGCAGCGGGAGAGGCCACAGCAGTGAGAGGCCCACGTACCGCAAAAAAATAAAAAAACAAAAAAAATTACATGGCCTTTGAGGACCCCTGGGTTCTCTCAGTCCTAGCTCATCCCCAACCTCTACTCACTGATAAACCCTGAATTTGGAGTTTATCATTTCCTTCTTCACTTTGTAATTTTCCATCTCATAAAACTCACTTTTAAAATCCACATATGTTATGGAAAATTCGCTACACCATAAGTTTCAGCAATATCTATATACATAAGGCGTGGAGGAAATGGTATATTTTAAAGGAGTTGTTAGTTAACAGCCTTCTTTATTTGAGACCTTAAACTTCGTGTTAAATTAACTTGATGGCTGTATTTTAATTATAAAATTAAATTAGGACTTAATTAATTGGAAACCTATTTTTTTAAAAAATCCTGGAAAGAGTATATTAGACTTGAAATGCCTTCAGTTTTAATGTAAAAAATGCTAATGGACCCAGAGGCCTATTTTCCAGGACCCCAGTGCTTCTCCAGTGTCGTAATGGAGTAATTTTAACAAGGTTTTAAATAGTCCATTTAAATTTTTGTAAAGGCATGTTTGAACTTTGAAGAATTAGAATGTAGGAAAATGTGGTGCTTATATATATATGTGTATACAATAACCTCTTCTGACTTTTTATTTATTTCAGTCGCAGTTATTAATTAATTTGTTCAGGTTTGATGGTCTTCTCTTGGGAGGCTTTGAAAACGAATGGGGAGGAATGGCTTTCTCTTTGGCCGAGAGGTCTATCCTGATTGATCTGAATGAACTGATGTTATTTTATAAAAAGTTTTCTTGTTTTGGTCTTTTCAGAGATTCTTGGTTTTCCTCTTGTTTGTTTGGTTACTTTTTGTGTTTCACTTGTAAACTTTGAGCCACCTCAGAGGCCTTCTTTGGTGATTGATCTCGGTTAGTTGCTTTTAATTTATATTCTGGGTGTCATTTTTTATTTATTTATTTTTAATTTTTATTTTAATTTTTTAATAGACACCTAGCCATTTTATTTTATTTTATTCTTGGCTGTGCCGTGTGGCACGTGGGATCTTAGTTTCCCCACCAGGGGTAGAACCCATGCCCCCTGCAGTGGAGGCCCTGAGTCTTAACCACTGGACCGCCACAGAAGTCCCTGGGTGTCATTTTTTAGAGGAGAATCAAGTTGTATCTGGATTCTCTCTATTCTTCTAAACCATGCCCCCAGGAAATCCCAAAACATTAAAAAAAAAAAAAAAGTTAAACTTTTGATTCTCTCAGTGTGCCTAGATGACTGGTATCCCTATCCCTATTAAAAAAAAAAAAAAAGACCAAGATGTTAATGGATAATTGATTTTGTGTTTTTCTCACCTTATAAAGACACTTATATTTTATTATTTTTAAATCTTTTTTTATAAATTTATTTTATTTATTTATTTTTGGCTGTGTTGGGTCTTCGTTGCTGCGCGCAGACTTTCTCTACTTGCAGCAAGCAGGGGCTACTCTTCGTTGCGGTGCACAGGGTTCTCATTGCGGTGGCTTCTCTTGTTGCGAAGCACAGGCTCTAGGCATGCGGGCTTCAGTAGTTGTGGCTCGTGGGCTCTAGAGCGCAGGCTCAGTAGCAGTGGCACACGGGCTTAGTTGCTCCGCAGCATGTGGGATCTTCCCGGGCCAGGGCTCGACCCCATGTCCCCTACACTGGCAGGCAGATTCTTAACCACAGAACCACCAGGGAAGCCCAAGACTCTTATACTTTAAAAGAGGAATTCTGGCGATAAAATGACTTAATCCCGCTTGACACCATGGAAGGCACACTTCATGGTATGTCCCCTACTGGCCAAGGTAACGTAGTAGACACTAGATTAGCTGGAAATCCTCCCTGGGCTCCTGGCAGGTCACTTAGGAGATGAGGATAGTGCTGAATCTGGGTAAAGGCAGCATGTGTCTTCCTGCCTGGCTTCCCACTACTCATGGGCCCTGTCTAGGCTGACAAGCTTGTTCTGGTGCCTGACCTAATCTGGATCTGGAAAGGAGGTTTGTCAGCAGCCCCTGTCTCACCAGCTGGTAGGACTTAGCCTTAGGTCATGGTGGGAGTGACTTCTGGGCCCAAGGACTCCCTGTTCTACCATGTTGGCCTTGGCTGTGGGATTGGGTCTCTGCCATGATTCCCACTTAACAGTCAGCCTGGCAACCCTTCCTTTAACCCCAGTCTTTTTTAGTCTTGGGAGTTTTTTTTTTCTTTCTTCCTAGGCTAAATTTCTGCTTTGTATTCTCTTAGCCACCAGCAAGGATGAAAGATAAATATCTTATAATGCAGCTCAGTGACTCCTATTTTAGCATCAGATGCCTCAACTCTCTGGCCTGCTGGAGTAGCTGTCGTGGGACTGACATTTGTTGTAACCTTGTCTGAGCTTGAGCTGGTCCTCGCCATGGACCCTGTGCCCTGGACTCTGTGGCCGTCCTCACTGGAGCAGGATGCAGGGCTGGCCTGTTTCCCCTCTGCCCAGAGGGTCCAGGGCTCAGCCTGTCCCTTTTGCAGCTGG